TGTCCCCCTGGGGGGGGTGCCCTGCCCCCATCTGCCCCCGTGTCCCCCCGTGTCCCCCCCGTGTCCCCAAGGCATGCAGGGCTCCACTCCCCTGGACGTGGCGGCCGCCTCCGTCATCGACAACAACGAGCTGGCGCTGGCGCTCAAGGAGCAGGACCTGGAGAAGGTGGGGACAGCCCCGTGTCCCCTCTGTGTCCCCTCTGTGTCCCCTCTGTGTCCCCTCGTGTGTCCCCTCTGTGTCCCCCATATCCCCCTGTGTCCCCTCGTGTCCCCTGGGTGTCCCCTGAGTGTCCCCTGATGTCCCCTGATGTCCCCTGGGTGTCCCCTGACATCTCCACTGTCCCCTGAGTGTGCCCTGGGTGTCCCCTGATGTCCCCTGGGTGTCCCTTGGGTGTCTCCTGCTGTCCCCTGACGTCCCCACTGTCCCTGGGGCAGGTGGTCACCTACCTGGCCAGCTGTGGCCTGCAGAGCTGTCCCACGCTGCCAGACCCCAAACCCCTGGGTGTCCCCTGGGATGTCCCCACTGTCCCCTGGGTGTCCCTCACGATGTCCCCTGATGTCCCTGCTGTCCCTGGGGCAGGTGGTCACCTACCTGGCCAGCTGTGGCCTGCAGAGCTGTCCCATGCTGCTGGCCAAGGGCTACCCCGACATCGGCTGGAACCCCTGCGGGGGTGAGAAGTACCTGGACTTCCTGCGCTTCGCCGTCTTCGTCAACGGTGAGACCCCCTCGGGTGTCCCCAGGTGTCCCCAGGTGTCCCCAAGTGTCCCTCAAGTGTCCTCAGGTGTCCCTGGATGTCCCTCGGGTGTCCCTCAGGTGTCCCTCAGGTGTTCCTCAGGTGTCCCCAGGTGTTCCCAGATGTCTCCAGGTGTTCCCAGATGTCTCCAGGTGTCCCTCAGATGTCCCCACATGTCCTCAGGTGTCCCCTGAGAGCTCTCAGTGTCACTCAGATGTCCCTCAGGTGTCCCTCAGGTTTCCCAGGTGTTCCTAGGTGTCCCCTGAGAGCCCTCAGGTGTCCCCAGGTGTCCTCAGGTGTCCCCAGGTGTCCTCAGGTGTCCCCAGGTGTCCTCAGGTGTCCCCAGGTGTCCTCAGGTGTCCCCAGGTGTCCTCAGGTGTCCCCAGGTGTCCTCAGGTGTCCCCAGGTGTCCTCAGGTGTCCCCAGGTGTCCTCAGGTGTCCCCAGGTGTCCTCAGGTGTCCCCAGGTGTCCTCAGGTGTCCCCAGGTGTCCTCAGGTGTCCCCAGGTGTCCTCAGGTGTCCCCAGGTGTCCTCAGGTGTCCCCAGGTGTCCTCAGGTGTCCCCAGGTGTCCTCAGGTGTCCCCAGGTGTCCTCAGGTGTCCCCAGGTGTCCTCAGGTGTCCCCAGGTGTCCTCAGGTGTCCCCAGGTGTCCTCAGGTGTCCCCAGGTGTCCTCAGGTGTCCCCAGGTGTCCTCAGGTGTCCCCAGGTGTCCTCAGGTGTCCCCAGGTGTCCTCAGGTGTCCCCAGGTGTCCTCAGGTGTCCCCAGGTGTCCTCAGGTGTCCCCAGGTGTCCTCAGGTGTCCCCAGGTGTCCTCAGGTGTCCCCAGGTGTCCTCAGGTGTCCCCAGGTGTCCTCAGGTGTCCCCAGGTGTCCTCAGGTGTCCCCAGGTGTCCTCAGGTGTCCCCAGGTGTCCTCAGGTGTCCCCAGGTGTCCTCAGGTGTCCCCAGGTGTCCTCAGGTGTCCCCAGGTGTCCTCAGGTGTCCCCAGGTGTCCTCAGGTGTCCCCAGGTGTCCTCAGGTGTCCCCAGGTGTCCTCAGGTGTCCCCAGGTGTCCTCAGGTGTCCCCAGGTGTCCTCAGGTGTCCCCAGGTGTCCTCAGGTGTCCCCAGGTGTCCTCAGGTGTCCCCAGGTGTCCTCAGGTGTCCCCAGGTGTCCTCAGGTGTCCCCAGGTGTCCTCAGGTGTCCCCAGGTGTCCTCAGGTGTCCCCAGGTGTCCTCAGGTGTCCCCAGGTGTCCTCAGGTGTCCCCAGGTGTCCTCAGGTGTCCCCAGGTGTCCTCAGGTGTCCCCAGGTGTCCTCAGGTGTCCCCAGGTGTCCTCAGGTGTCCCCAGGTGTCCTCAGGTGTCCCCAGGTGTCCTCAGGTGTCCCCAGGTGTCCTCAGGTGTCCCCAGGTGTCCTCAGGTGTCCCCAGGTGTCCTCAGGTGTCCCCAGGTGTCCTCAGGTGTCCCCAGGTGTCCTCAGGTGTCCCCAGGTGTCCTCAGGTGTCCCCAGGTGTCCTCAGGTGTCCCCAGGTGTCCTCAGGTGTCCCCAGGTGTCCTCAGGTGTCCCCAGGTGTCCTCAGGTGTCCCCAGGTGTCCTCAGGTGTCCCCAGGTGTCCTCAGGTGTCCCCAGGTGTCCTCAGGTGTCCCCAGGTGTCCTCAGGTGTCCCCAGGTGTCCTCAGGTGTCCCCAGGTGTCCTCAGGTGTCCCCAGGTGTCCTCAGGTGTCCCCAGGTGTCCTCAGGTGTCCCCAGGTGTCCTCAGGTGTCCCCAGGTGTCCTCAGGTGTCCCCAGGTGTCCTCAGGTGTCCCCAGGTGTCCTCAGGTGTCCCCAGGTGTCCTCAGGTGTCCCCAGGTGTCCTCAGGTGTCCCCAGGTGTCCTCAGGTGTCCCCAGGTGTCCTCAGGTGTCCCCAGGTGTCCTCAGGTGTCCCCAGGTGTCCTCAGGTGTCCCCAGGTGTCCTCAGGTGTCCCCAGGTGTCCTCAGGTGTCCCCAGGTGTCCTCAGGTGTCCCCAGGTGTCCTCAGGTGTCCCCAGGTGTCCTCAGGTGTCCCCAGGTGTCCTCAGGTGTCCCCAGGTGTCCTCAGGTGTCCCCAGGTGTCCTCAGGTGTCCCCAGGTGTCCTCAGGTGTCCCCAGGTGTCCTCAGGTGTCCCCAGGTGTCCTCAGGTGTCCCCAGGTGTCCTCAGGTGTCCCCAGGTGTCCTCAGGTGTCCCCAGGTGTCCTCAGGTGTCCCCAGGTGTCCTCAGGTGTCCCCAGGTGTCCTCAGGTGTCCCCAGGTGTCCTCAGGTGTCCCCAGGTGTCCTCAGGTGTCCCAGGTGTCTCCAGGTGTCCCCTGAGAGCCTTTGGGTGTCCCTCAGGTGTCCCTCAGGTGTTCCTCAGGTGTCCCCAGGTGTTCCCAGATGTCTCCAGGTGGCCCTCAGATGTCCCCACATGTCCTCAGGTGTCCCCTGAGAGCTCTCAGTGTCACTCAGATGTCCCTCAGGTGTCCCTCAGGTTTCCCAGGTGTTCCTAGGTGTCCCCTGAGAGCCCTCAGGTGTCCCCAGGTGTCCTCAGGTGTCCCAGGTGTCTCCAGGTGTCCCCTGAGAGCCTTTGGGTGTCCCTCAGGTGTCCCTCAGGTGTCCCCAGGTGTCCCTCAGGTGCCCCCAGGTGTCCCCAGGTGTCCCTCAGGTGCCTCCAGGTGTCCCCAGGTGTCCCTCAGGTGTCCCCAGGTCCCCTCCTGTGGGTCCATGTTTGGGGGGTCCTTTTTAGGATGCCCCTGCTGATCTGGGATTCCCTGGTTTGGGGTTTTAGAATTCCTGGTTTGGGGTTTTAGGGTTCCCTGATTTGGGGTTTTAGGGTTCCCTGATTTGGGGTTTTAGGGTTCCTGGTTTGGGGTTTTTAGGGTTCCCTGGTTTGGGCTTTAGGATTCCCTGGTTTGGGGTTTTAGAATTCCTGATTTGGGGTTTTTAGGGTTCCCTGATTTGGGGTTTTTAGGGTTCCCTGGTTTGGGGTTTTTAGGGTTCCTGGTTTGGGGTTTTTAGGATTCCCTGGTTTGGGGTTTTAGGGTTCTCTGGTTTGGGGTTTTTAGGATTCCCTGGTTTGGGGTTTTAGGGTTCCTGGTTTGGGGTTTTTAGGGTTCCCTGGTTTGGGGTTTTAGGATTCCTGGTTTGGGGTTTTTAGGGTTCCCTGGTTTGGGGTTTTTAGGGTTCCCTGGTTTTGGGGTTTTGTGTGTTGGGGTTCTGGGGGTTCTGGGGTGATTTTTGGGGCGCGGTTCCCGCAGGGGAGAGCGTGGAGGAGAACGCCAACGTGGTGGTGCGGCTGCTGATCCGGCGTCCCGAGTGCTTCGGGCCGGCGCTGCGGGGCGAGGGCGGCAGCGGGCTGCTGGCCGCAATCCAGGACGCGCTGAGCATCGCCCAGGACCCCGCCAGGGACGGGCCCAGCGGCCGCAGGGAGAGGAGACCGTGAGAGCTGGGATCGATTGGGATCGATTGGGATCGATTGGGATTGATTGGGATTGATTGGGATCGATTGGGATCGATTTGGATTGATTGGGATTGATTGGGATTGATTGGGATTGATTGGGATCGATTGGGATCGATTGGGATTGATTGGGATTGATTGGGATTGATTGGGATTGATTTGGACTGATTGGGATTGATTGGGATTGGGATTGATTGGGATTGGGATTGGGATCGATTGGGATTGATTGGGATTGGGATTGATTTTGATTGATTGGGATTGGGTTTGATTGGGATTGATTTGGATTGATTGGGATTGATTGGGACTGATTGGGATTGATTGGGAAGGGGTGGGAATGGGAATGGGATTAATTGGGATTGAGATTGGAAATGGGATTGGGATTGATTTGGATTGATTTGGAATGATTGGGATTGATTGGGAATGGGATTGATTGGGATTGGGAATGGAATTGGGAATGGGATTGGGATTGGGATTTGGAATAGGATTGGGATTTGGAATAGGATTGGGACTGGGATTGGGATGGGGGTGAGGTTCACTGAGGATGAGGATGGCGATGAGAGGACCACGACGAGAAGCGCAGGTGAGGATGGACGGGGGTCCCGGGGGTCCCAGGCTGAGGATGAGGATGAGGATGAGGATGAGGATGAGGATGAGGATGGAGCAGGGTGAAGACAATGACACTGGGGGACCTCGGGGTGACCCCCCGGGACCCCCCCAGGTTCGGGCCCGAGGAGCCCCCCGAGGAGAACCGTGTGCACCTGGGCCACGCCATCATGTCCTTCTACGCCGCCCTCATCGACCTGCTGGGCCGCTGCGCCCCCGAGATGCACGTACGCACCTGGGGAGGGGTCCTGGGGGTCC